CAGTGACATATAATACGTGGATGAATGTTTTTTGTTGGTTTGGTGTTAATTTTGTTATGTCTTCTTCTTTGGTATCCTTTTTTCTTGTTTGGTGTAACCAAGGGAGGAGTAATAAGCGATCTCAGTACTTTGTTATTAATATGGTCCATTTGGTTGCACCGAAATTGTGTGGTCTTTAATCAAGGTATTGTGGATCGGTTGGAGTTGCTTGACTCTATTCGTCTACATTTTTTAAAGTGGATATCTTCGGCAGGTATAGGAATGTCTTTTAGCCTTGTAGACTGATATAATAATTTTTGGATCTGTTTTGTTTAGTTAGCTTCTTATGTATTTCGTATTTTTTTAATGGTTTTTCTCTATTTTGTATTGTACTCTGTTTTTGGAATTTTGAGTAACTCTTGTACTCAGTTTAATTGGTTTTATTTGCTTAAAAAAATAAAAGTAAGAATCCATTTTAGGAATGTTGTAATTTTTGTCTGTTTATATTTTATTAGTTTTTTATTTTTAAGTTTTGTTGTGTTTTTTAATTATAATGGTGATGATTTCAAGTTGTATTAACAAAGTTACGTTCAATTGATCATGTAGAAGATTAAAATAAAATATATTTTATTTGCATGTACTAAATTTTAAGAATTATTTTTTTTTAATTAAAAATAAAATATTAGTAGAAACTAAAAATAAAAAAATTATAATATATATATATATATTCTGTTACATTTAAATTATATATAGTGAAATAAATCAAGAATATTTCTCCATACTTAATTATGCCATAATTATAAAATTAGTTTATATATTGAGTTATAATATATATATTTAAAAGTAATTTTAGACAATAATTTAAATCATTTATTATAAATTTAAAATATAATTTATATATTCAAACTATTTATTTATTATACATTTTAATTAAATAGAAATAATTATAATATTTATATTACTACTTTAAATATGAATATATTTTAAAAATTTAAAACTCATTCTTCCTCTTTGAGATGATGGTTTTATTTTATGATATATAAATTTTAAGTGTTGTTTTATTAAAATTATAACATAACATCTTATTAAACTTTAACCGTTTTAAATAATAATTATAATATATTATTTCACCTAAATTAAAAAGCACACATTCTACGTACATACTCTTTATAATAAAAGTATATTCACAAGAAACGTTATTTATTTATACAATTTTATTATTTTTTAATATTATACTTGTCTTTATATTTATTTAAAAAAATAGAAAATATAATAAATATTTCAATAAAAAATTTATACCTACACTATCTGTCAACATATATGATTTTGAATTGAATATAAAAAGAGTGAAAAAAAATATATAACTTCGTTTTTTTAAGTTAGACATATAATGAATAAAAAAATAATCTTCATTTATATATATATATATATATATATATATATATATATATATATATATATATATTAATCGAATAATTTGTGAATGGCTTAAACTATTTAGATGACAAACATTTCAAATTTAGTTACTCGTCAAAAGTTAAAGTGATGATGAGTTTAGGGTGGAGGATTTGTTTGTCTGAATTTTTTTATTATATAATTATTTTATATTTATTATATATATATATATATATATATATATATATATATATAATTACGTGATTGATTTGATTATTCCAATAAATTTATTCTCTACAAACATTACAAAAATAAAATTAATCTTTTTATAAACTATAATTATCTAAGTAAATTTAAAATAAAATTTCAGATAAATAAATAAAAACTGTTTAGATGATTTTTGCCCGTATAATACTATTGTGTAAGTGTGAGTTAAAAAAAAGTTATTTAGTTGATTATAAATATACCCATAAACTATTTTTATTATAGATTTAAAAAGTAATTCTTTAAGTAACAGGTGTAACAAATACGTTGGTTTTTATTTATTTTTTTAATTCAATTTTTTTTATTATAACGGTTATTTTAAGTATTACTCTTCTATAATTAATATAAACCAACTGAAACAAATTTTAAAATAGAATAAATAATTAATTTATTTATTAAATTTGTAAACAAAGTTTTTAAGATATTTCATGTCAAATTAATTTTAAAAAATTTAACATCAAATCTACCAATTCTTTAAAATAAAACAAAAATTCACAGTAAAAAAAGTATACTTTATATATAATATATTTATTTTATATAGTTGTTATAATAAAATGAATGAATTAAGGTTGCTACGATATATTAGATTACTTCATGATTCTTATTCTATAAGTATATACCCATGTTTTGTAACATGCAACAAAAATTGTGTTTAACCCAATAATAAAATATTTGCAAATCACATCCGTATGAGTTGTTTTTTTTCTTTAATTGTTCGTGTAATTATTTTATAGGTACAGTTTATATATATCATGTAGGTTTTGTGTTAGAAAATTTGGTGTAGAAACTGTGTTATTATTCTAATAATTTGAAATCCTCTCAAGACATGCTTGTTATACATGCTTTGAGGGTGATTTTAATTTTGAATAATTATTAATAATTTTTTTAAATGTTATGATAAGAAGATATTTTATGTTAGTCCTAGGTAATATATTAAAATCATATGACATTATTTAATCATTTCAAATTAAATTTTTACAAAATCAGGTATAGTTTTCATAATTTTTATTTAATTTTGAAAATCTAAAATTATTATAATTAAATATTAATTTAAAATAATATTTGAACATAAAAATTAATTAAAAATTTAAACATTAATTTTCATAATATAAAATTATTTTTTTAACAATAAAGAAATTATACAATATTAGAAAAAAAATTGAAAACTATATATTATTTACGAATTTATTAAATCATTCAAACCCGTAGAATGATATAATAGAGACTCTTAGAGCTTACTTCTAATAATTAAGAATATTTAGATAAAATATTTCTTTAAAATATTTTATTTATTTATTTATTTTGTCTTATTAAGCAATAGATGCTTAACCTAAAATATTATATCTAATAATAACTTAATTATATTGAACACTACTAAAAATTCTCATTTTTCATGAGAATATTTTTGCAAAGTTTTTATAAAAATTGTAAGAAATAAATTTTCTATAAATTTAAATAATTTTTTACAAGAAAATTGACAGAAAAAAAAACTAGTTTTCTAGTAATGGAAATTAAGTTTCTTCAATCTTAATAACATTGTTTTAAAAAACAATAAAGAAATTATCACATGAAAAATATTTTATTTAAATAAATCATTTCTCAATTTTTATTTCGTAAATTTTATATTATATTTTTTAATGGTCAAAAAATCAACTAATTATTTATTTTGTTATTATTAGTTTTACATTTTGAAAATAAAAAATATTATTTAAATATTTATCGTCTCCATATTTTAAAAATTTATTAAATTTTTTCACCAATTTTTTTTTAAATATAAGAAATTTATATAAATGTTTTTTATTTAAAATAAAATTTATTTTTTAATAGAATTGAAGATAATATGTTATTTAAAATAATAATAATAATAATTTGAGAAATATAATTATATATACTATATTTAATCGGGTTTTTTAAATATTAATTTCTTTTATGAATTAATAGTAGAGATTATTAATAGATGAGTTCGCGTCTGAGAAAGGGTTATAAAATAAATAAATAATAATAATAATAATAATAATAATAATAATAATAATAATAATAATAAAAGGTATAAGGTATAAAGATTAGGATATTATTATTACATTTTAAAAGCTGCAAGTCTGAGTTTCAACGTCGTACATATTGTTATGTGACAGAAATATGGCGAAGAAAATCCTAAAATCACATAAAAGTGCAGCCAAACATCATTACATAGTAAAATAGATAATATATTAGATAAAGTATAAAGTATCTATTGAATGCTTTGATTTCTGACCTTATATAACTGTCTTGTCTTTTGTTATAACCCTCGCAATTTTTATTTTATTTTTGTGTCTGGATTTGTAGGTGATTGATTTTTATAAACATAATTTATATGAAGATTGATATTTCATTTGTGTTTTAATGAAAGTTTTTATGTTAGTAAATTGCTGTTTCAAGATAACTTTTATTCACTTTTCAAACCTTATTTGGGGACATTAAAATATTTTTTGTTATATAATTAATAAATTTATTTGAATATCGTTGAAATATATTTTTTGGTTGATTACTCAATTATAATGCTTAAAAATATTTAAGTATAAGAGAAAAATATATAAATTTAAAAAATAGTTTTAAAATTTGAAGGTAAAAGTTTTTTATAAGTTAAGAGAAAAAAATGAAAAAGCTAAATTATAATTCGATCTATTTTTTTATATTTCATATGTGATTTTGTTCCTTTTTTTTTTTTCTAGCGTTTTAGTTATTTAAGAAAATCTGTAATGTTGTTCTACTCTCCCATTTGTGTACGTTTTTTCTTTTACATTTTGATTAATTAAACTATTTGTAATTATACCTTGAATAAATATTTTAGATCTAAAGTTCAATTGAATTAAAATAAAAAATAAAACATATATAAAATTAGATATTAGGTCAAAATTATAGATCTTCTAGAATCTAAGCCGATAAAGAATTAAAGGAGGACTAATGTGAAGATAACTTTATATATATATATATATATATATATATATATATATATATATATATATTTGTAATTTTTATTATACTACCACATTTTAGCTTGTGTATTGGACAAGATAATGTTTATTTATGTAATAATAATCTCAAAATCATAGACTCAACAAAATATGGAACATACAACACCCAAAATCAAAACCAAATTATAGACCTTTCAAATTAAGTTGATCTTTAAAGTAAGGAAAACAGTATAATTAATATTCCATGAATACATATAGGTCTAAAATTCAATATGTTTACAGCAGAAGTATTTCAAACTAATGTCTTAAAGGAAAAACCAGAGACCCAAATAAACATATAACACATTGAAACATACTATTTCTTATAGTTTTTCATATAATACTATCCACTTCAGAGGAAACAAGTTTTCAGAAGCATCCAAGGTGGCAAGAATACAGTGGTTCCAGGGTCAGGTCAAGGCCGTTCCTGCCTAGTTCTGGTGCAGCTTCTTCATTGAAATTATTGGCACTGCAGAAACAAGAGTACACATGGTGGGAGCGTTGCAGTACCAAAGAAGAATTGGAAACAGTAAAAGAATTTTCCAACGAAAATGAACAAAAGCAACTGCATTTTTTTTTTTTTAAAATAGAGTATGAGTTCTGATTAAAATAGATTATTTTTGAAGTATAAAGACTAAAAAGACAAAGTTTGTATAACTGTAAAAATTAAAATGTAATTATGGAAAGAGAAAACGAGAAAATTACAATATCATGTCACAGAAAGGTTACCCTACCCTATGTTCAAACTAGGAAGGGGTTGTTGCTGTGGTAAGAAAGATGTGTCAACCCTGTAGTTTGGCTGTTCCCACTGTACAGCTTGTTGTGCTACAGCCTGTTCTTTCTCCTTGATCTAATTTCATATCACATATTATTAAAAAAATACACATATTATAATATATATATACATGGATACAAACAAAACAATATTAACCTATTTTGAAGTATGGCTAAACTACATATATAGATATCCCATTCCATAATTATAACAATGATCATTTTCTGTCGGTTACAAATTGTTTCTCATACTGTCAACATTTGAGGGCATGAGAAAAGCTTGCATTAGTTTCAGTGGCAATTGCAGCCCGATGTGAGCTTATACAAATATTAGATATGATTCCAAAATTAAAACATTCTTTATAAATAAAATGTAATCGGGACTTGAAAACATCAGAGAGAATCTACATTCGAATTACAATGGTTTTGTGGTGGTGAGGACAGAATTAACTGATCAGATTGGAAGCATAAACCTAGGGCTAAATCAGGCAATTCAAATATATATACAGAATACGAAGTTATTCTGTTACATAAAGTAAGGTAGGTGTATGAATTTGTAAGACCAAAAGGAAAATTGCATTTTCTTAGATAACACATTGGACATTTATATAATTTACTCAAATGAATATAGTTATTGAGTAATTTTATGTTAGCTTTGTATCAGAGAAAGGGATACAAATAATTTCACTGTTCAACAACTAAAGTTCTTATCTGCTAAGTCCATTAGGTTAAAAGTTAACAAGCAGAAGAGAGGATCTATGAACAAAAGTAATAGAATAATCAAACTAATATTATCTAACACTCCTCTAATAGTGTCAATAAGCGCTGAACTGGACTAAATTAACCATTGATTATCTGTGGTAAAATGAAGTTTATATGGCTAGTTGGAGAGAAAAAAAAGTTGTAAAGGCAAATCTTGGTCACCTTCTTTTCAAGGATGCTATTCTGCTCTTGTATCCTTTTCTCCTGTCAAACATAGAGAATTAGGAGAGCACAAACCTCCATATCAGTTTCTTTAGACAGAGAGACACACATAACTATATTATACAAGTTCCCAGCAATATTATGATTATCTTTCACTTTCGAGACAGAAAGCTAAAAATAAAGCCAAGAGAGGACTTGGAGTTAAAGGCATACCTTTTTCTGAAGCTCAGAGATGGAGTCGTACATGAGATCGTTCTATTAAAACATAACACAGATCAGTGGCAAAGAAACACACATACGCATGAAATATGAAAGCAAATTAACATGATGGGTTATATGTTATGTGTGTACCCTCCTATTGCGGATGTTTTTGAGAGAAGTATCTAACTGCTGCTCCAAACTCTGAAGCTCTTTGAGGCTCATTGAAGCCAAATCTTCTCCCATATAGTGCCTGCAAAAGGGTTCAATGTTAAACTTGAGGATAGAGAGACACGTGTGAGAGGATGATCAAATCAAACCGTGACAGGAAATTAAAGCATGCATGTAGTTATAGATATAGGCCCTCATGTACCTGTGGTTTCTCTGCAAAAGGTCAATCTTTGCCTTGAGTCTAGTATATTCAATGGTCCAGTTTCCCTGCACAATGTACATATATCCATCCAGTGCTTAGTTTAATAGTTTTGTCAGGTACTGTGATTTAAATATTTGGTTTTGATTGCATCCAGTACTTTTACGAAATTCCATATTTCCCATACATTCATATATGGATGATATTTTTTTTATTTTTTTTTAAGTTCCTATAGCTTAGACCCAACTGTGTGCCTGTTTACACAAGAATCAATTGTCATTGAAGAACTTAATTCAAAATAATGACACAAACGGGAATTTACATATGCTTGTGCTCAGTGTGTATATTTCAAGACAAACCTGTGTCTCAGAATCGTTTGCTACTAGCTGCCTCTCTGCATAGGCATACCTTTCATGGCGTTCCAGTATCTTCTCCATGCTGTTCAATGATCAGAGTTCTCAATCAATATTGTTCTCCGACAATGATATCAATATATACTGTATTCACACCACATATTACTACTTTCAAATAACAAGATTTTTCTGTGTGTGTTGCCGAAGAATGTGATGGAAATTGAGATTTTCAAATATATGTTGTATAACTCTAGTTATTGTGAACATATTTCATCTTGTTCAAGTTAAAAGTTCCTGTTTGTTAACCATAGCACTATTTGACTATCTTTAATATAAGTTCATCAGAATCTATGAATTAACGAATTTCCTCAATTTAACTGTAAAATGATTTATCTAGGAGGCTGTACCCATCAAGGAAAAGTAACCCTTTAGTAACAAGAATGTCAAATCGTGCTTCTTTTGAGATTTGATAATGCAAAAGAAGAAAAGGTACAGAATTCTAAACCGAAAGAAGGTCTAGCAAATCTTGCTTGAGGTGCTGAACTGAAAGGACATGCGAGATAGAAAACAAGAATATGAAGCAAAGACTGTCACAACCTCATCACAGTCTGCAAGAGATTCACCCCCTCTTGAATTTCAACAAAATGAAAGGGAAAAAAATTAGGGCTCTTACACAGGTTATAGTCGTACTCTATAGCTAGGACAGGTAGAATATCTCGTTCGGGTAATTTATTTTCTTCTTTCTCATGAGAGAAATATATACACATGAAAGAGTATATATATGAACTTAATTATAGCACTGCTAAACCATTTTCGCTTGTTGTACGCCCAAAGTTGCAAACAAATTCATAGAGAAGTGTAACTGTATATTTTGCTGGTTCAATTTGAGTAAATGATCTACACAGTAACATCTCCTTTTCAAAAAAAAGTGGATCAACGGCTGTCTTTGTGTGTATACACAATTAAAATAAATTAAAAACGAAGCTTGGTATGAACAAAAATAAGTATGAACAAAATAAAGAAGGGTATGAAGTTTCCTTTTAAGTTTTGAACCCCAAACCAAAATCCTTATCGTGTGCAAAGAACAAAAAAGACAGGAAAATTAACAATAAAACAGTACTTGAAAATTATTCCAGACTGAACGGAAAACTAAATGCATATACTACATACATATACCTACATCAGCTTAATTAACGACCAAGACACATAATATTTTTGTCTAATATAGATCCATATATGGTTTATATGTATATAAATAATTATTTTAATATAATATAGGGCATTTGCATTACCATGAATCAGTGGCATACTCAAAGAGCTTTCCTTTGTGAGAGAAGACAATCAAAGCTACCTCAGCATCACAAAGTACAGAGATCTCATGAGCTTTCTTGAGCAACCCACCTCTCCTTTTGGAGAAAGTTACCTGCCGATTGATCTTGTTCTCTATCCTCTTCAGCTGTACCCTACCCCTTCCCATCTTTGTTGTTGTTTTTTTTTTTTCTTTAATAATTTATGTGTGTTGTATATATATATATATATATATATATATATATATATATATATATATATATATATGAGAGAGAGAGAGAGAGAGAGAGAGAGAGACCTAGATAGCGACTTAATGAATTGTAATTCTTGCCTTTTCCGAAGGAAGGAAACCCAGTTGCCAAAGAAGGAAAAAGGAAGAGAAAAACGGAAGCAGGAAGGCTAAAAGGGTGGCAAATATGGCGAAGCGAGGGTGGGAATGTTAGTTCATGGATGTTTCTTCTTCTGGACAAGAATAGAGTGGTGTCATGGGAAAGCACAGTGAGTGGAAGTGTGCAATGTTATGGTAACCATAAAAGGTGTGAAATAATATGGAAGATGTGAAAAAATATCTAAAGCTGGGGTTTGGTGACAAGTGGTTTTTGGTTTCTGGTTTGGGAAAGGAGAAGTAGTTTATGAACGTTGCGTTGTCGGCGTGCGATTGGTTGGGCAGTGTCCTGCGTCCATCTGTGTCGTATAGCTCTTTATGGCCACACAGTGATGATGATATTACTTTTATTTTAATGATGGAGGACCCACATGTTCACCCATGCCAAGAGGACGAGAGTTCTTGGAGGAATAGGAATACCATACGTACTTCACAAACAAACAATGACATGTTCAAATTACTCTTCTTCTTCTTCTTCTTTTCTTCTCTCATTAATACTTAATCATGCTTTTTATATACATTCATAAGAATTGGATTCAATATCTAAGTTTCTGTGTTTATATAGAACACTACATTGTAAAAGAACACGGCTTTGGACAAATTTTCCATTCTTTAATATTGAATCAACTATCAATTTTCATTTCTAAAGAAAATATTTAAATTTATTAAAGATCATCGGGGGAGTTTCAATACTTTAGGGAATTATAATTTCATTAATGTAATACTGGAGAAACCAAATTAATAATTTATTATACTTCGAAATTAGTCTCTAATTAGATACCCTAGAGAAAGTAAAAAGAGATGGTTGAAATGGAAGTCTAATTGCTTTTTTGTTCATCCTATTATTCTTATATTTTGTTAATTTGGTAATAATTTTTTTTTCAGTTTGAAAATGGAACCATAGAAGTCTTTTAAAGTTTAACAAGTCTCTCAAATTTATAAATACAATAATATAAGTCTTTCAAGGTTCTTAATTTTAAAAAATACAATAATTTAATTTGTTTATCAATTGAAATTGATGTGGTTAATTTTATAAAATATTATTATTATACATTGATTATAAAAAATATTATTCATGTAACTGAGTCTAGAGGCATTTTATGAATTAAAAAATAAAAAATAAAAAGTTTCCGTGTGTCTTTAAGTAACTACCACCACAGTTAGCTGGAACTGTTAAAACAGTGATACATGTGCAGAGTGTGGACTATTAACCTTGTTCACACACATAAACAAAATAAATTTCATAACGATTTGGGAAACAAAAAAAATATAAATAAAACATCACTCATATTTGTGTGTATATTTCCTACTTATTTTCATCATGCTAAACATCTAGTATACCTGTATCCAGCTAGTTATGCTGACTTGACACACCAAAATTAAAGATTGAAATTTTTTAGAATAATATATATTATATACTTTCAAGGATACTACAATCTTCAGGGAAGATGGAGCATTAGAATAATTGTAGGAGTTGACAATTCAATCCATTTGATATTATAAATATGAAAAATGATAAATTTGATTGGTTTGGGTGAATATCTTTTGCTATTGGAAAATTAAAATGAATCATCCAATATCTTTATATACTCCATTTGGTGAGAACCAGGGCATATGTTTTTAAGTAACCATCCTCCACTATATACGCTGTTAATTTAAATGTAGGATTGAAAATAAATATTGATATTTTTTTTTAAATTGAGAAATCGCATGATTTAAATGGATGAGTTGAATATTGATTAAAAAAACTAATAATATGAATATTATTTATTTTTTAATGGTTTTTTATATATATTTTGGTCTCCATTATTGAATGTCATACAAGTAATACCTCTTTTAATGAAAATTCAAAATTTAATTCAACATATTGTAAAGGACTAATTTCGTATATTAAACTCAGCCTATATATTATTGTTTGAAAGGTGAAAGAAAAAGTAGGTTTTAGTTCAATATTATTTTTAATATATTTTTCTTATAATTTTCTTCCAATTGCTCTATTATTTATATTTGAAGTACTATATTCAGATGTTATATAAGATATTTGTGGAAAATAAAAGAAAAATGAAAAAAAGTATCCATCACTGATTTGATTTATTAAATTACATAATCAATGATTAATAAAAGGGATAAAAATTAGGAACAGGTCCTGTTTGCTAATATATCCTCCCTATCTTCTTTTTCTTTTTTTCTTTTCTTCTTTTTGGGTTTGGTTATGTTGTGTGTGGTGTAGATGAGCATATACAGACCTATAACCTAATAACCTCTCGTACCTAACAATCTCCATGTGATTTTCTTTACCCATTAAAGAGAGAATCAATGTTTAAAAATGGGACCTATAGTTAAGTACACTTTGTTTTCACCCAACAAAATCAATCAGTTCCAAAACATCTTATCTTATTTTACAATCTTTCCATTCTTTAAGTTCTTCACTAGAATAGATTAGACTTAGAGAATTGAAAGCTTCAATTTTTTCATTGGACAAAGTTTGATTCTGTGAGAAAACGTGTAGAACCTACAAAGTATATTTTATTTACACTTTAAAGTGCTTCTATTATGTCAATATAATACAATTAATTCCTAATTTGTTTTCAAACATTACATTCAAATAAAAATTAATGTTTCCAAAAACGAATTCTATTATATTATAATGACTAAAAAATAAATTTTATTAAAAAAAATATTATAAAGGTTAAATTTTAACTTAAAATTAATTGATAATAACAAATATATATAAATTATAGGGAGAAGTGGGTATGGTGATATTAAATATTGACTGGTAGATTAAGAATTAGGTGTAGTGTTAAACCTATCGTGTCAAACCTTTTATTTATGAATTTATGTTTATAGCATGGATTTAAACAACATTTTCATTTACTTCTATTTTCTTGAATAGGTATAAATTTTTATTTATTTTTTTAGGACTTGCTCATTGATTTTAACTCTTTCTTTAAATGGCCAAGTCATGGTTTATTTTCAATATTTTCTTTATCCTTAAGTACAAATTACACTACCCAAACTATTGCCCACTCCTATTTCTAATTCATGACGTGAAACTAACAATTTTCAAGAAGTTAGGTAAGAATTAGAAGTGAATGAAATTAAGTTACTCCCTTTTAAACTACAGTTTTTTTTTTGCGACATTTAATTATCATTTTAAAAATTTAAAACAATTTTTTTATCAATTATACGTTTACTCTTTTCTAATATTTAATTAGTTTATACATGTATTTATTGTAAAATAAAAATAAATGAAAAACTTATAGCTATTTTATTCAGATGAAAATATTATGAATTTATTTATTTGTCCAAGTGAAATACACTTCAAAAACAGTATGCTTAATCTAACCAATTTCCGGTTCAATTACATTTTGAGGAAAAATTATAGAAATTCACCTTCAAAACCTAAAAATGCAAAGCACCTTAAAATTAACTTTTAAATTCACAAGTTTTGACATTTTCACTTAGAAATAGATAATTTATATGTTAATTTTGTTATAGTCGATTGGTTGGTTCGATGTCCTCTAAAAGTTGGTCCTTCACCAAAGGACTAGTTTTGTTTAATTACATAGTCATTCAATCTCTACGATTGATTTCAAAAGTCAGCTGAGCAAAGCTTCTCGAACCTTCTTCTATTACAATAACAAACATAAGCTTTATTTGCAAGAATTTGACGGTATTCGATTCAGTTTTGTATTAAAAAATGATCTGAATAAAACAAAAAATTTAAAAGAGTTGAATCCAAATGTACTCAAACTAACAAGATGACAGTGGAATAAAAAAATGAAAGAAAATATAAATTCTCAAATGTCATTAAGTCTTGAAGAACAGCATTTAGATCAATTACATATTGTTAGGATGGAGGGAGTTGGGGAAGATGTTAAGTATCAAATTCTTCAAAACATGTCTTATTGGGATATTAAGAATAGCATAGTATATTTTATGCTGCATGACACCTATTATTACAGCCTGTTCTTGTAGGCCCCAAGATACATAAGCATCATTTTTCTGCCAATCATGAATAAAACTAAATTGTGAATTAATTCAGTTCATCCATCCATGCATGAACTCACTAGCATTTTGGGCTGAGGTTCCTGCAGCTCCTCCTGCTTCATTTAACCCTGAAGAATCATAGCTGCTGAAAAGAAAAAGAACCGTATTCAACTTCTTGCAAGCACATGCATAATCTGTTTCACATTTTATGCATTCAGGGAGAAGAACATTACCCAATTCTCAATGTACTGTTGCAATGTGCTGTGTCATAATATCCCTCTGATTGGTGAGGGTGGCCATTGAAGGGAGCATTTTGCTCCCTAGCTTCCCATGTTGGTTGAAGGGCTATGTTAATTTCCTCCAACTGTGAAACATGGACACAATCGAATGGGGTGCCACAAGATGAGACCAGAAACAAATACTTGAAAAGAAAACAAAGTCATTGCAGAATTTATGAAGAAACTGGAAACAGTTTATAGGAGAAAAGGTAATTGCTGTGAATCATGTGTTGTTTGTATGCATGGCTTAGGCTTTGGAAGTTGTTAAAATTTTGACCAGATGATGGTGGTAGGGTTGAGTACTTGGATTGGATCCTACATCTTCATTACTCCCCTTATCAAGAAGGGTAAAAAGATAGGTAAGAATACAGTGTCCAAACCAGAAAATGATGCTATTAAATTATGCGTACTGCAATGACTTAATTTCTCACCCACTTCAAAAGCTTAATTTTTTAAGGATTATGGCACTTCAACAAAAATTACCAAGGACACAAGGCACCTCTAAAATAATTACGTTAGTTATTATTTTCATACATTTCTATTTTGAGTTTAATAGTCATATTATATATATAATAGTTTATGCACCATCTAACTTCTGTCCAAATTTTGTCTTTTAATATTTTGCTTTATTTCCCACCTCATTTTTCACATCCATTAGTTTCTCTTTCTTTATTTTTCCTCTATTTCTCTCTTCCACCTACCCATATACTTAAAAAAAGTCCACATTTAGCATTTATTCCAAAATAAATACATAGTTTTGAGAAACTTAACTTAAATATATCAGACAGTAAAAGGTGATAGATGGTCTAGCTTCACAGTTTTTGTATAGTTCATTACCAGCTAGGTAACAAAATCCTAAATTAAGAATGCAGGTCTTAAACACGCTAATGATTAATATTCAATTGTAGAATCGATAAAGTTCAACTACTACAACTCAAAATTTAGAGACTGTAAAGGTTTTCATCTCATTAATGTAAATATTAAGTGATTTATATATATAATTTCAATTTGGTTATTACAATCCATTTGAAACTGAACAATAAAGCCTAGAGCCACTGTCTACAACAAAATAATCACACTATTAATTGTTTGATGATCTAATATGAATCAAATGATTTTAATTCTTTTAAACAATAAATTGAGTCATTGCTTTTTTAAATAACTTTTTCAAAGATGTAAAATTTTCAAAAGAGAAAATTCAACAGGAATTTACAAGATCAGATTCAGCCACCCACAGAATATATAATAATATAAATATATTCATTAACATTTGAAAATATGTTTCTTTGGTACCTTGTTCCTCAGGATGTTATTAGTTTCCAGGAGCATCTCCTCCTGTGTGTCCATTAGAACAGAGTTGGTAGCCAGACTATGAATAAATGATATTTATTTAAGGAAGATAGAGAAAAAAGCTTAAAAAAAGTGTTACCTTTCTATGCAAATCAGAGAGTTGATCAAGCATCTGTTGTGTCTGCAGACAAGTAACAGATGCATAACCAAGCATTGTTAGGAGTATCATAATAATAATTTTAAATCTTAAAATTATGATGTCAAGTATTTATATAGACATATATGTTGTTCTTTCAATATTTCCTCCAAAAGCTTATCACACAATATTTGCTAAAGTACAAAGTGACCCACAAAATATGATTTTTAGTTGTAAATCTCTCTTAATTTATGGTATTAATGAGAAACAATATATATATATATATATATATATATATATATATATATACTAAAAATGTTAAAGATTTCATTTCATTAGTTCTAGAATTATTAATTTTATACAGTACATTTGGACCAGCTCACTCTGAAGTAGTCTATATGAAATATTTGATAGAAAAATTAATATTTTAACTAAATCTTACTGAAATTTTGGGACATTAATCACCGATTCTCAATAAGTTAATAATTTATTATCTCAACTAAATTCATAGCCATAAAGGGTCTAAGCTTTTTTTACACACTTTTCCTTTTTTGTTTTTTTATTTAGTTACATAGCAAACTACATTAGTAATATAGTCAACATGTATGTAACATAAATAAAAATGAAATAAATTCATTTTACAAAATAATGAATTTCTTATTTTATATACAGAGAAAAAGAAAATTTAAATTATTCAAGGAATAGTTATAAAATAAATACTCTTTTTTTATTTTTTTATTTTTCAATATAACCGTTCCAATGAATTATCTATTGTTGTATCATTATATTAAAAATCAAAGCATAAAAATAAAATGTAATTTTTTTAATTATTTTTCAAAATAATTTGATTTATTCTCGTGTGAGTGTCTCAATATTTGTATATATTGTACTCTGCAACTACAATAACGAAAGTTAAAATAAGTATATATAATGTGATCCTACATAATTATACACCGATCACACCCATGTATAATGTGATCCTATATATATATATATATATATATATATATATATATATATATATATATATATATATATATATATATATATATATATATATATATATATATATATATATATATTAACAGTTAAAAAAATTATAAAAAGAAACTATATTCTATGTAAATATATAATAATTTCAGGCCAACTGGCAGATGAGACATGACAAGACTAAGACAATTTATGGTCTGAATTTCTAAAACCTAACTTGTCATATCAAACTGTTGGAGTCTGGTAGGGTTTTACACACTACTGGTAGCTAAATTTCGAGTAAATAGTACACCGAACAACATAAATTCTGTATATCATAGTTATAATAAATTAAACATGGTGTTCAACAGACTGCAGACTGATACTAAAACTGTTTAACAGTACACAAACATCACAGATTAAGTACAGTTTCCACGATCCATGCATGAATGATCCAGCCAACAAAGACAAAGACACCAATGATAAAAATATTGGTGACCCTTTGGAACACTTCAAAGAGCTAAGAATAAGTACACACTCATTTAATTTGAGGATACAGAAAACAAAAGTATCATCGATACCGTCCACTTATTTACTGTAAAAAATAGTTGTACAGATACCAGAAATCAAATGTACATGAGAGACACAAATAAAAAGAAAAAAAATACAAGTATAATATGATAAGAAAGTAGAGATAAAAGAAAACAGTAAGCTTTTAATAAAATATTTAGAATGATTAAATGCCATATCAGTAGTCTTTTTGCTATTTATCTCTGTTATGTATATTCTGAACAGTAACACGAGGAAACAGATGCAGAAGGACATGAAGTGGTGTTGGTCAATCCGAAGAGATATTTATTAATGGCAACAAACTAAACCATATAAGAAAAAATACACCACATGTAACCTAAAGTTACTCTTTTCTTCCCATTCATTTGAGACTGATACATATGTCAGCCAAACAAAGAGGACAAAAATAATTGTCTGTGCAAGTACAATTTCTGACGTATTTTTGAGTTGTATTATTTATACGATAATTTATTTTCTTCTTATCTCTGTTCACTTATCACATTATATTTCTTTTTCTTCTCTCTCCTTCTTTCTCACTGTTGTACACATAACATTATATATTCTATTTTTATACTGGAGAATCTATACGAGGATGAGATAATATACATTTGACAGAAAGTTAACCTTCTTTGCAAAGGTCAGAAACCAAGCCACCTTGAGGTGCTATAGCTCTATTATTGAGCAAGCGATCACATGTAGAAAGGAAAATTATCACAAGCAAGAATCAATATACATATTTTAAATATCTCTAAACCTGATTTTGAATATTTTTAAACATATGATTTATATTTTATACAATGATAAGTAATTAAGGATAATTTTTAATATTAATAACTTTTTTCATAGTTTAGAAATTGAATTTAGAAATAAAGATGAAGAGGATAAATTAAAAGGGAGGGTTGGAGGTTAAAATGAATTCTAAATATGCTCTTGTTGAAAAACAAAATATAACATTCTCTTTACACTACCATCACTCAAAATTTAGTTGTTCTAATTTAGAAAGTAAAAACTTCTAGATCGGTTCATAATGGATATTTTTAGTCAGTATGTAGGACATATTTTATTGATGTTTGGTATAGTTTCAGTGAAGGATTATGAATTGCAAAGTACTCATTTATATTTTAAAAAACTCACAATTCAAATATATGGTTGATGAAAATTTAAGAGGTATTTTTTTAGGAATTTGTTACTTACTATCCAAATATTTAGAAATGTATTTAAATTTAAAGATATTATCAATTTTTTGTTTCAGGAACATGTTTCCTCCTTTAAAATTAGAACGCTGATAGGATTTGACTTTTGTGTTGTAATTTAGTTTATATTTAGAGACCAGAAATAAAAATTAGAATGCTGATATGATTTTTTTTTCACTTATTTTTTCTACACAATATCAAAGTTTAACTCATTTATAACAGTGGAAAGAGACAACACAACACTGAAGACCTCAAGAAAAAACTCTAGAAAGTTTATGTATTCATGTCATTGATTAATGTCTATGTTTTAAGATGGAGTGTATCAACTAAAAATGGAGATGTGATGAATCTCCATACTACATTATTATTTTCAATCAGTTTACAAACCTTTGATTGAAACATAGTTTGTAAGGGGGACAATATCGAAGTTGTAGTGGACTCAGATGATCACTGCTTTGAGAGAAATTGAAGGAAACATTGATAATGAAGGTTATGCACTATTGACATCGGAGGAAGAGTCATTCAAGAGGGCAAGATGGAATGAGAGGAAGATCGTGTCCCTAATGTCACAATTGACATGAGATTTCATCACATCTTACTTGGTGGGAGATTTTTTTCATCAGATATGACTAATGTGCAGTGTTACTATTGAAAAGAGAAAGGTCATGGGAAATGTGAGGTTGGTACTTTTGCTGCTTCAATATCATTTCATTGGGAGAGATAACATCACAAAGAACAAGTATATTGGTTGAAAATAGGGGATGCAACTTGATTAAAATTATACAATTTATGAAAAAAAAAAAAAAACTTAGTTAACTAATAAACATTGAAGTAAGCATCATATCATTCTGATATCATTCTTTCCAGAAAGAACAACACAATCTATACAAGTTTAAATTTCTACAGCAAAACCCTTGTGACATTTTCATCATTCAATGAAGAATATGATAAGATTAATTCATACCGCAGGAAAGTTATAAAATAGATTCTAATAACATATGATAAGTTAGTTGAACAGATTGAGGTGGCAATTTTGCATACCTTGTTAGACCTGATTTGCTTCAAGGAAGAGTCCAGCTGACGTTCAAGGTGCTCAAGCTCCTTAACATCTAAGTGCTCCAATTCTTCCCCAAGGAGGTTTCTACAGAGTAATAAATATGCTAATGCAATTCATAAGTGTTATCTAGGATTTAACTAGCTACAAAGTCATTTCAATTCAGGAAACATGTTTATTTCCGTTTTGATTTTACTGATAGTTACAAAAAATATCATTTTTATTCTCACTTTTTTTTTCAACTTTCTACATTTGTATACATAAACCATCAAGACAATAGTTTTTATTCTTTGTCATTGTTTTCTGTTATAAAAAAGTTAGGGTAGAAACTTTTACATTATCAGCAATTCAGCAATCATCAATAAGACCAACTTCTACAAAAAGCTTTTAAAAAAGAAAAAATAAGTTGTGTATACATTAATTATGAAAAGGTTAAATACAAATTTAAAGAAGTTATGTGAAAGAATTGTGATGAATTAGTTTGTGTATAAACTAAATTTAAGTTGTGGAGAAATTTTTCTCTCCTAGAAATCGTAATAGAGAAATTCATGTAAGAAAATCCAAAGTATAATGGTATTAAGTCATTTTACACATTTCAATTCTCTTGTAATGTTTAATATTAAAAAAAGAATAAAAATATAAAATACTAATTCAATTAAGAAGTTGGTATGTGTGAAGAATTTTGATACAGAGAACAAATACATACAATTTATTAAAATATTTGTTATGTTATTCTCCAGTTAAAATCAATGTTTTCTTTCAATAAATTATACAATAAAAATAGCATATAAAGTCGACTTTTAATTACTAAAATAAAACTAATTCTGATGTATTTAATAGAAAGGAGAATTTTAGTAAAACAGAAGCAGAATATATTTTGCATGTTTAATTTACATTTAAAAAAATAATATTTTTCAGAAAACAGTATTTGCTAAGAATGATTAAGTTTTGCAGAAAAAAACATGTGAGAGATAGAAGAATCTTTCTCAAATTAAAATAATAGTTGTACTGAATGATATTTGGTCATTTTGAGATATGAAAAAAATTGTCTTATCAAATGCGTCAAAATCAACCAAAGCACCTGTAAAGTTGTACTAAGTTTTATCCTTTCAATAATTCCACTACAATTCTACCTTTGTGTTTGCTGTAGTGCCTCCACTTTGGATTTTAGCTTCAGGTACTCCTGATAGCGCCTCTGCACAAGGGAATGGTGATACGCGTTACACTTTCACGCACAACTTATTAATCCATATTATTGGTGGTGTAAGTCAAAAGAAGAAAGATGAACCTGTGTCTCTATTTCAGGTTGGTGGTGTAATTCCAAGGCTCCATAACTGCATCTGTGATACCGTTCAAGTGTCTTGGCCATGCTGAAACAAATACCCACCATTTTCAATATATATTCTACCTCAAGAAAAAGAAAATGCATGGCTAAACACAGTTCAGATCATATAACAGGCAATGAAATGAATACTCAATTTTACTATATATATCATGATCATGTATTCTCAACTTGGCTTTTGTCTTAGCCAATTAGGAGAGTAAAATGTTCCCTCCAGTTTATATTTATTTATGTAATCATTGTGCTTTCTCACACCCTACTACATGTACAGGTATATTATGGGTTTTGTATCTCAAAACAAAGAACCTATGAACCTCCTTCGAAGTAGATGTTGCAGAAGGAAGAAGAGATATGCTGTTACTGTATTTTTAACTTAAACTTTTTCATAAACACCTACAGAAAAAATTTAAAAACATAAAATTCTTTATAATAATAATAATAATAATAATTTATATGTACATATTAAAAAATAAATTTTAAACAAACTAATAATTAATAATTTTTTTAAACTAATTTATGTATAAACCAAATTTATTTTATAAAAGAGTTTATCTTGACCACGAAGGTTACATGTTGAGTCAATTTTTACGTCAAACATATTATTTATTTTAATAGTATCATTATTTTTTTAAAGAAAATTAAAAATAAATATGTTTATTGATTATCTTTAATCTCAATTACATTATAATAATGTAAGTCTTAAAAATATAAAATATCTTTAATCTCCATTAAACCTACTCATAACATAGTTAAAATTTTACATTCTCTCCCCAAATAGTGTGAATGAAAGTGATCTATCATCTCCTGTAAGGAAAGCAAAGGACTTTTATGAGTACAAATGGGTTAGTCATATTAATTTAATGGAGTCAAAAGTATCCATAATTAGAGTATCTAATTAAAAAGATAAGTGTCATCACGGAAAAAATAATACAGATGAGTATCTGTTTTAAAAACGAAAGAAAATATGAATATAATTTACTATAATCTCTACATAAGTAAATGCGTTTTCTCCAAAATTAAATTTCTCTTACAAGAAACTGAAATCTATCGCTGTTAGCTTACTTGTTAAGTTTGGTGTTTGTATAATTTGGATAAACTAATTGTTAATGAGAGAGATTTTTTATGAATGGATCAGGAGTCTATCCTCTCACTCTTATTTGATTTGAAACATTCTCCCCCCTCCATCCAAAGCAATTCTTATCCACAAATATCCCAATAATGACTTATACGTATACTGTCATTCTACACAACCGAACATCCTTCCTTGAAACTATTTAGGAAGACTTCCAATGTAAGGATTCATCACCATTCTATCACAATTGTTTTTCATGACGCCAAGAAAATCTTCTACAGGCAGATGCATGATCAGCAATCCTCTTTAATGGTAAAGTTTAATGCAGGGCAATGAAGTTATGCAGCATTATAGAAGATATAGACATGCAGATTATCGTATTCACAGTAATTATTGAGAGCACAGAATTTGTCTCATGCAGCAAAATCTACAACGCTCTTTAATCTTTATGTGATTCACATGTAGAGATAACAGTAAGTCAGTAAAACTTATTTATGGATACATGATTTCCTTATGATAGTGAATTACATGTTTTAATTAGCCAAGTATAAAAATGTTTACATGATGTTTATGCAATAATCAAACGTTGAGTGTGCATGGCAAAAAGCATAAACAATTTATGGATTATGCAATCACACCAGGAGCCAGAAACCTGCTTAACAGTAAAGAAACCGATCTAACCTACAAGAAAAGGTACCTGGTGGCACTTCTAAAGTGAAATGTGTACTTTTTATCTATTCCATTTTATATTTACCAAAGTCCTATCTTTTACATTGAATGCAAATGCATGATTTGTTTTCTTTTCTTTTGATGTGTTCTGACAAATATCGGTGAATGTCTAATCAGAATCAAGTATTCAACAGAAAGAGAATCTTGGGGTTGTAAATATAGTAATCAAAAGAACTAGAATGTTGGTGTTTCTTTTCATAACACACCATGATTTTATGATCCGTTTAATAGAAAGGTAAATGGAGAAAAATGAAAAATAAATATATATAGAAAGATGTTTTATTAAAAAGTAATACACAAGAAGAATGATAATATTAATTTTATTTTATTTTTTTAATATAATTTCCTAAATTATATATTATAATATAAAAATTCTATAAATATCACATGATCAATTCTAAACATTCAAAATATATATCTAAATTATAATTTTATTCAACACAATGACATAATCAACTGAATATCTTTTATTTTCATTTCTTTTATACATCTATTCAACCAAATCATTTACCTACTCTTCGTTTCTTTATACATATATTCTCCCTTCTTTTATCTTCTAAACCAATTCAACCCTTAAAATCACATTTTCATTACAGTACATACTGTAAATCAGGGAACATCAACCTATAATTCATCCGAGTAAAATAGGTTTGAATTGATTGAATTTGTTCTCAAATTCAAATTTCATAAGTCGAAAAATACTATTAAATATAATTAATAATATTTTTAATTAAAATTAATTATTAAATTATAAATATTTTTCATAATAGAAAAATTTATGAAACTGCTTTGTTTGTTTTAAAGTTTAAGAAACATTGAACTTTACACAGCTATCAAGGCAAAAACACTTTCTCGATCTCAATTTGCAGGAAGGTAAAAATTCCTTCTTTTTATTGTTTAACTAACATGGGTTTTACATTTCCAAACACACAATTCGTAAAAATTATATGAATTACTGCATAATGAACATCAAGATATGATACTCATGACTACTTTTGAAAGGGTTGTATCTGTTAAATTAGAATATATCTTCTGAAAACTGAAAATGCAAGATGATTATAAAAATTAAAATTGGTTTCTTATACAAAAATGAAGATGTTAAGGACTAAAGTCTATACCACTTGGTCATAAAGTTGTGAACCATCTATTTCAAAAGGAAAATGAATCTAATACGGTTTCAAAAAGAACTGTGGTGCAGTTACTGATCATTTCACTGTTCATGTAAGTTTAAACCTTCTTTATATTTAAATCATCGTAGTAAAATTAAAGATTGATGAGATCGCATGTGTTTTTTCGAAAACTCTAGAGGATTTTAATCCAAAAGCTAGTACGTAAAAATTTATGAATAATTCTACAACTGATTGCAAGAAAACTTTGCAGCAGCAAAACAAAGGCCACAGCTATTTCCCCCTCTTTAATTTTCATCAGAAATATTTCCGTGTAGAAAGTTCCACTGCAGAGATATATATCACAAAAACTTACGAGGGAAGAGAAATTATAATGGTAGAATGTTCACCGTTTACCACAAAAAAAGGAGAGGTTTTCGCTAAGTACATATATGAAATACGAACTAATATAATTACTGTTAATCATCATTCTAAACCATAAATTCGACCATGATGAAGAAATAATTGGAAAGATTTATTATGTATGAACTCGAATCATCATGTTGAAATTTTGAATCAAAAAGATCAAGAAGCTGCATCTTCCTTCTTATGAAAACTCTTCCAGAAAACATGAATCTAAAGCTGTGAAGAGAGAGAGAGGGGGGAATTCTAAGGAAGACCAGAACAAATTAAAAGAAACAAAATCATAAACAAAACATCGTAACCTTCATCAAGCCCTACAAATCAGACGCAGGAAACTAAATATAAACGAAAGAAACAAAAAAAAAAAAATTCATGAAACACAAACCCCTAATGAACACACAAGCACAAAGCAACCAGCAAGATGTGAACTTTAAGCACCCCATGAAACGAGGGAGGGAAAATTAAGACCCCCAGAAAACAATACACCCTGAAAACTTCAATAGAGTGTTATTTCACATTCAAAATCTGAGTTGCAGAAAGAAAAGGTGATGGGGTTTGGGTCGGTATAAAAGAGAGGTACCTAGGGCCACTGCAGAACTCATAGAGCTTGCCACGGTTGGAGAAGATAATGAGGGCAACCTCAGCATCACAGAGGACAGAGAGTTCATAAGCCTTCTTGAGCAACCCATTCCTCCTCTTTGCAAACGTGACTTGACGATTTATCTTGTTCTCAATCCTCTTCAACTCCACCTTTCCCCTACCCATATTATTGTTGCAAATTTCTTTATATCTCTTTCCACAAATAAAACTAAACTTGCTTTTTCAGAATAGCAGATGGAAAAGCAGCATAATTCTAGATTAGATATTTTTTTTCAGCTATTTTCTGCAAATTTCCCTTCCACCTCTTGTTTGTGTGTATATATAAGCTAGCTTATCACATGATATGCTATGATCTGTCTCTCAGTTTTAGTAGGTATGGTATACCTATGATGGATGCGTAATGGAAGATGAGAATATCAGCCCTTTTGTAAAGCAAACAAGAAGAACTAGAAAGTAACCACAGCATTCATTACATTGCAGTTCAATTCCTACATCTCACATATAATGCCACAGTAACTAGGTAGTTCCACATATTTTTACTATCATCAAACCTTAATTCACATATATTTTATTTTATGAGTGTGGTATCCATATGAAGGGAAAAAAAAACAATTCTCAGGTAGATTCATGATTCATAAACTAATTTAAATAATTTTTATTATTTTTCATATATGGAATGCATATGAGACTTCAAACCTCAAACAACACAAAACATGTTCAAAATAGATCGTTGAGAAATAGAGATTTTTTAAGTGAATTTTACTTCTCCACCGATATGACGAGAACCCTGATATATTAACAACTACGTTGAATATTTAAATGCATTATCGATCACTCAGACATCTTTTACATGATTTTTAAAATAATTACAAAGTTAAAAATATTATTATGCATAAGAAATTTTAATTAAATAACTGTGTAAAAATTTACAGTTTCAATAAAAAAAATTCAAATATATGAGTGAATGGCTATTAATGTTGAAAGCGAAACACTTTTCAGAGGAAAAGAAAGTTGAGAGCGAAAGAAAGGAACGTATATTTTGCCTTATAAAAAATATTATAGTGGTATTTTTCCTTTTGTTTTTCTTATTGTTTTAACAAATTTGTAGGCAATGATGATATATATATGTACATAAATTTTTATTATCAGTTAAATTTTATAATAAAAAACATGTGTAATTTATGATAATTTTTAAATAAATGAAAATATAGTACACATGTAACACACTTTAACTTTATTATAAATAATATAGAAAATAAAAATGATGTGTGACCCCTTTTTCTATGGTGTATTACGAAAATTGGTCAATGAGAAATTGCTCCACGTCTTGGATTTTAACAATTGTGAACTCTTACTGGTAATGTATATGTATATTAAACTCATAACAATTGAATAATATTTTTCAAAAGGAAATGTTAATAAATTATACACTTTATATTCCTAAAATACAATGAAAATGTAACTTGTTAACATGTATTTTTATTTGCTAAAAAATATATTTTTATTAGATAAGTAGATACATAAATTAATGTTTATGATTGTCGAAGAATATTAAAAAAATTATATTAACACGTTATAAATTAAGTTTTTGATAAATAAAATTTAAAACATTTTTAAAATTTAATATGGAATTTCAATTTTGATTATGGATTAATTTCATTTCATTTTAATAATTGATATATTAATTTTGTTTTGAATCCCTCCTAATATGGTTACGGTTATTATAATTTAATTTATATATATATATATATATATATATATATATATATATTAAAGCTAAAAAAAATGTTAAGTTATGGAAGTTGATATAATAAAGTTTAACAATTGAATTAGGCTCATATGGAAGGAATGTCTAAAACATATAATTATAAAAACAATAATAAAAATGAATTAAAATCATATTTTAGTGACTTATTTTTAGATCTATTCCATTTTATTTGGGTTTTGAATTATCAAAATATGATAATAATTTTACATCAGAACTATTAATTTCAAATTTGTATAACTTATTGATAAATATGAATCAAATTAAAATTACAAATGTAATAAAAATCATAAAAAATAAAAAAATTATTTATTGATTTTTTTATTATAAAATATTTAACAATTTGTGTGTAAGAAAATATTTTATAATATTATTGTATAAATTATTTAATATTTTATAATAACAATAATAATAATACATTACAAAAAAAAGTCTATTATCTATAAAATATTACCTACGGATAAAAATCCGTAGATAAATTTTACATTACCTACGGAATTACTATCCGTAGGTAAATTATATTAAACTAAAAGAATTGAACCCAGTACCTTAAAGTTGAAAATCGATACTCCAACCACTAAGCTATTAGGATTTTCTAATAATAATTTACAAATAAATTATGGTTATATTTATTCGTGTAAATATATAAATACATAAATACATAAATATAAATATATAAATATATAAATATATCAAAATATAAATATATCAAAATATAAATATATCAAAATATAAATATATTTTATATTTATATATATTTTATATTTATATATTTACACGGATAAATATAAATATAATTTATTTGTATGTTATTATCAAAATATTCTAATAGCTTAGTGGTTGGAGTATCAATCTCCAACTCGAGTGCTTGGGTTCGAATTCTAGCAATTATAATTCCCTTAATTTAAGTAATAATAAAAAACAAGGAGGGGTTGTAGGGGTTGTATAATAGATAATAAGCGTTTTTTTTGTAGTGATAATAATTTTAAAAATAAAAAATGATCAAACCAAATTAATTGTAAATATTGATATTCAAATTTTATATTAAATTAAAAAATAATAAAATCGTATTTTTTTTTTGTTTAATTTAAATAACTATTTAAAAAAAATAAAACTAAGCTGAATCACCCATAATATTGTCGAATAAACTATATTTTTAGAGAAAACTCGTCTTTATATAACACATTAAATGAATTTTAATTACATTATGTTTAAAAAAGGGGTCATATATAAATAAAATAAATTTAAATATGTTTCTACAAATTTATATATATAATTAAAATTAACTTATTTACAATTTATTAGTATAGAGTATATAATAGTTTTCTTTCATGTTATTTATTTTGGTTCATCTACCAAATTAATTAATCTTAATCAGGAAACTTGTTGGACCACCATAGTCACACCTCCTCCCTTAGTCACATTTTTTTTTCATCTACAACTTATAACTGAATCCAATACTACTAAACCATCAATTTATTAATGCTTAGATAATGTTATGTTTTTCAAAAATATTTTTTCAATAATTTTTATGACAAAGTGGGATCACTTGTATGATTTATGGAAAAAAAAAAAAAAACAAGTTGTAATTCGAGGAATGATTTTTTCCCCTTTTATTCTGAATCCTTTATTACAAAGTATTTTGTTTTTTAGTGTATTAGAAACCTTTAGACGTTATGTTTTTCCTTTAAAGATTTATTAAATGAAAATATGAGAGTATAAGAAAAAATTTAAAAGAGAACGAGTTATAAAGAGTGGATAAAATAATGTGATGGAAGTGGAGAGAATATATGATATTAAAATAAAAGAGACAATATCTATAATATTCATAAAAAGTAAAAAAAATAATATTTAAAAATTAATAATATAAAAAATATAGACATTTTGAAATATATAACATGTATTCCCATTAATCAATATAATATTTTTAAATTATTAGTTAATGTAATATTTCTAATTTTCTATATTAATTATAGACATATTTAATGTTGAAAGTGACAATTCAACATTAATTTTATTGTCCAACCTATATTAAAGTTGAACTTTTCCACTGATGTCTTCTATTACATGTGAATCTCGTTTTCCACATTGGTTATTTATTTTGTTTTTTTATTTATTTATTTATCACATTCTATCTTCACTTCTAATATATATCATATCCACTTTTTCTCTTTTTTATATATAAATATTTTCTTTTATATTCTCTCCGCTCTTTAAATTATAATAAAAATAATTATTTTTATTTGGCAAAGAATGATATAATTTTATAAACAATGATAGAAAAAAATAAAAGATAATAATTTTATATATAATAATATAGATAATATATAAAAATATACTTAAATTACAAAAATAAATATTTAATATATTTTAAGGGGTCAAAATTTTATTTTATAACAATTTAAAAATTTAAATATACTTCAAAATTTAGGAATCATCCTCACCCTAAGTAATTCTTTCATCAGGCTTTAAAGGAGTACATGTAGTGATGGAGGAAAAGAGTGACAGGAGATGTCTTGTTCTTTAATACTTTTAAAAAAATTATATATAAAATTATTTTATATTTTCTTTATTAAAAAAAAATAGTGGTCCGTTGTAAAATATTCTGTCTTTGTCATTATATTATAAAGGAAAATCATTAAATAAAAAATAATTGAGTGAAGAAAATTATCTATGACTACTTTAGAAATTATTTTGTAAATTAAAAAAGTTGCTCTGTATATTTGAGGCAGTGATCTAAAATATATTTGTATTGCTTACACGTTGAGTAGTAGAAATGTGAGAAGTGGGAGGAAAAGAAAAAGATGGATGGTGCAAGAAAGGGTTTTGTAGAGTGATTTCCTTCTTCTAAGGTGCTCTGATAAACATGTTTGCAGAGAAAGAGAGAGGAAAAGTAGATTACAGTTAGAAGGTGTCAAGAAGGGCAAGGTGTTGCAGAAGAAGTGAGATATGGGAAGAAGACATTATATCATAAAATCAGTGAATGTAAAAGACATCCTATCATATCATGTCTGAAAGAACTGTAAGTTTGTTGGTAGCTGAACTGACATCATACATAACATAGAATAGCTGTCTAGGGCTAGCTGCATGCCTCAGTACAATTTTTCTTTTTAACCAAAATTTAATCATCATTACAATTTTATTTATTTAAATACACAGTTCTACTCTACATACTATCTTATTTAAATATCATATTGCTTTTTACTTTCTTCTAATCATATGTTTTTAAATTTTGTTCTCACCATAAAAATATAGTTTATAGTAAATTTAGTCATTTTAATTAATTGTTTTTAATGTTATAGTTATTTTTATTAATTAGTATTATAAATATTTAATCGTAATCATGATAAAATAATTTAGAATTTATACAAATGAGATACATAATTTATAATATAATTTT